GACATGTCCAAACGGGTGCCAAGCACCTTCAACAAGGACGTCCAGAACTTCCCGGTGAACCGCGGGTCTCGATCCGAGACAATTGCCTCAGGCAAGCCATGTTGACGAAAGACTCTGTCTAGAAACAGCAAAACTGTACCCTCACCATCGATGGTGTCCGGCACTGCCGCTAAGTAACAATCTTGCCTTGTGCATACGCTGCGCGTATTAAGTCAGGCACTGACGACGTCACAGTTGTAACATGGGCTAACCCGTAATCCGGCCTGCGCGACAGCGCGTCGGCCACTACATTAAGCCGCCCCGGCTTGTATTTCACCTCGAAGTTATACTCGGCATAGAATGAAAGCCATCTTGTCATTCTCTGAGAGAGATGTGGTGACTGAGTCGCTATGCGTAGCGACGCATGATCAGTATAGATCAGAAAGGCTTAGTGCCAAGCAGGTGTACCCTGAACTTGACCAGAGCGTACTTCGTAGCAAGTAGCTCTTTGTCATGGACTGGGTATTCTTATCTGTAGCTTTAACTGGCGAGACTCAAACGTGATCACGCGTTCACAGCCTTCGGCGTCTGCTTGTAGTAAAGCACAAACGATTGGAAAATCGGAGGCGTCGCAGACGACGCTAGACGGACGCTCGGGGTCCCGTAGTGCAAGAATTGGCACCTATAGCAGGCTCTCCTTCACAGCCTCAAAGACTTCGTCGTGGTCGACGTTCCAGCACCATGGTGCATCATTCTTAAGGAGATCGGACAATGGCCGCGCCATTTCCGCGTAGTTCGCGCTGTATTTGTGCAAGTAATTGACTAAGCCTATCCACTTGCGTAAGTCCTTTTGGTTCTTGGGAACCGGCCAGTCCACGATGGCCTTGACTTTGGCAGGGTCTGCCCGTAAGCCACGCTTCCCAATGAAGCAACCGAGGAATGGAATTTCCTCCGCGCCAAAGACGCATTTGTCCAAGTTGGCATACAACTTATTAGTGCGCATGTATTTGAGTATGTGGTTCTCCACATCTGACTTTCAGTGTTCAGCACGACTATGGACGAAGATATCGTCAAAGTACGTCTGCGCGTACGCCCGATGTGGCCTGAATAACTGCGTCACAAGGCGATTGAACGTTGCTGTTGCGTTTGAAAGCCCCTGCGGCATCACCAGCCACTCCCAGAGCATACCACTCGGAGTGCTCACCGCTGTCAGCGGAATGTCGCTCGCTCTCATGACCAATTGGTAATAACCATCGACCAAGTCGAGTGCGCTGTACAGCGTACGACCTATCATGTTGTTCTGTAGAACATCCTTTGAGGAATCGGCGTCTGCGCCGGAATGGTAGCCACATTTAGCTTATTGAAAGCATGAACAATGCGCCACTTGCCATATGTCCGTTGTACTCCTTAGTGTCCATCATGTTCTTAGTCTTGATCAGCGGGATGCGCACTTCATTTGGAAGTTGTGCAGCACAATGAAGCAGGTCCTACAAATTCCGGCCGGGATCATGAAGTCCGTTCCCAGCACCACATCACAACCCGCGCTATGCGCCATTGCGCACATCTCAACCTTGTAGAGCATATCTCACCCGAGCGCTCGTCGTGTCGTCGACACCTTGCCTTCACTGATGCCTTGAATGTCGATGCTACGTCCGTGATCTGGAATATCACGAAGTCGCAATTTC